ACAACCCTGTGAGGTAGGTCAGACAGAAGTGTACTGTATGTCTGAACCAAGCTCCCCCAGAGAGGATTATGGTTGAGTTGGGATTTGTTACTGAGATCTGAATCTGAGTCTGACTTATATTATGTATCCACTAAAGGTCAGTATTTTACACCATAGTTTTTCCTCCTCTCTCCACACCCAACACCTTCAACCCACTTTCAATAACAGGGAGCACTGAAGGCAATTCAAAGTGGATTGTTTACAGGCAACCCTCAGTTAGCAACAGCTTCAGTTTGACTTCTGGATTGACTTTGTTTAAAAGCAGGAGGAAGTAACCTGTAATACTAAAGGCGGATGTGGTCCTCACCCTAACATCACTCCTCCAGGTGTGATCTGTCCCTCTCCAGCATCCTCCTAAGTTTAGCATTGGTGGGCTGGTGGGGGAGACATGGAGAGACAACAAGATTGGGAGAGAAGGAGATGACAGACAAAGAGAAAAGGCAGAGACATAAGGTGTTGTCACACGGGGGAATCACCTTTTGGACTGCTTGTGGAGCAAACCGGTGTGATCTATTTCTTAGCAGTCAGACAACATACAAGGATGTGCACTCCAGCCCGACCTCACTCTGTACCCAAACCTAACCTTTTTAGTTTAGCTGTAGGGGTACTACATTTGAGGGCTGGGCTGGAATGATTCCATGGCAGACAGAAGGGGCACTTTAAGGCAGATTGCTTTATGCCAAGCTACCCTTTCCTGCCATCTGACTGCACTCTCACCTACTCCTAATGCAAACTTGGAGTTTGGCTTCTTTAGCCACTGGGTTCTGTCCCACCTTTCAGCAGGATGTGGCCCCTGACAGATTATTCCTAAAGGAATGTCGCCCTACACAGTGAAAAAAACAATAATATCCTGCTTTCCCTTTGTTAATATGTGTGTTCAGGCATGTGACAGAGATGGAAAGGGATCCTCTAAATGTGCTGGGCTTTTTTTAAAAAAAGTAAAAGTGTTTGTGTGGCAAGAATTCATACTGAACATTTACACCCCCATGAGAGGAATAGTGTAACTTAGAGTGGCAAATAGCCACTAATTATAAGTCCCTGAGTGAATTCATAGTCACACACTAGTTGTGTGACTTGGCAGACCACTAAAAATTCAATTGGAGACTTACTAATTAGTGCCTATTCACCATTTGAAGTTAAGCCATTGCATTTAGAGCCCACAAAAATATTCAACTGAATCCTGGCTGTCTCTCTCTCTCTCTGTATGTCCTTCAAATTAAAGCAGTGAAGTCTTCTTAAAAGAACCCTGTCAAGGAGTTTTAAAATCAGCATTTCAAACCCAGCCTCTTATAAGAACTGATTTTTGAGAAAGATGTGCTTTTGATCTGCCTTGTTTGAAAAATCATGCCAGGTCTAGGGGAGTTTTCCTTGAAATCTTTGGGTTTGACTCTTCCTTACTACTGGATCTGCTACCCATGGAAGATGATGGATAGCAATGTGCTTGGATTATCAATTTGGTTTTCAGAGAAGATAAAATGCTTGAATACAGCAAAGCTGTGAGCTGGAAAGCTATTCCAAGGATTCTTCCTCACCTTGATGGTGAATCTCAGTCAGAAAACACTGATTGATTTGCAGAAGACAAAGAATAGTCCCTGAGGTCACCACTGTGCTTCAGCCTCCGGACTGCCAGCAGCAATGTTTAAGTGCCAGTATAATACCCCTGACGTTCAAATCACTTCTGCTAATAAGGTATTATTTGTCTATTTGTTTTTGCCCCCTTTCCTTTGATGAGATCAAAGCAGTGTGGATGACGCTCTTCTCCCTCACTATATTATCACAAGAGCCCTGTGACGTAGGGCAAGATGTGTGAAACCTATGCCACCCCCCCTTTTATGCATTTAACATGCCTGCAATTTTAATTCTTCCTGACACTGCCTTATGGATGTGTGAGGCTTGTTCTTCAGACTGGTTTCTTTCATGACGCTGATTATAGTGCAACAGATGCATTGTTGAGTAAGATGAGAAGCCTGGGAGACCACACGGGTAGAGTCCACACTGCTGAGCAAGGTTCCTGGGAGTCTGGGCAGGAATGGTGTTGCGATGATCCCCAGTCTGCCAGTGTAAGGGAACAAGAATCCCGTCTCTGATCCAAAAGCGTTCCTGAAGCAAAGTTGGTTTGAACTAAATCTGTTGTTTAGATTGGAGGCCACAGAAATCTGGGTGCCTGGTTGTGAAAGCCAATATAGTGTGGTTGTACAGTGCTGGACTACGACTGGATAGTTCAAAGCTTGCCAGTTACTTTTCTTCAGCCTAACCTACTTGCAGGGTCAGTGTGAGGATTAAGTGAGAAGAAGGAAGAGAGCCCCACAGCCCTGAGTTCATCAGAAGGAAGATAAGATGTAAAGGTTTCTACCTACCTAGTAGGCATCCTTCAGTCTCGAGAGACTATGGTAACGTGCTCTATATGGGGGTCTTGGAACAGCGTCTAGTGTGGCTGAGAAGGCCAATTCAAGAGTGACAATCCCTTCCACACTGAAGACAACTACAATCTGTCCCCTGTCCAGCTCCCTGGTTTTGCAGGTTTCGGGACTGCCTCTTTGCCTCGGCCTGCTGTACAAGTGTCTCTTCAAATTGGGAGAGGCCATGATGCACCACCTGCCTCCAGGCTGAACGCTCAGATGTCAAGGTTTCCCATCTGTTGAGGTCCATTCCTAAGGCCTTCAGATCCTGTTTGCAGATATCCTTGTATCACAGCTATGGTCCCCCTCTGGGGCGATTTCCCTGCACTAATTCTCCATACAGAAGAATCTGACCATCAGCCATTCTCACGACATGCCCAAGCCCACATAGATATCACTGTTTTAGTAATGTATACACACTAAATATTACAGCTCGTTCTAAGACTACTCTATTTGGAATTTTGTCCTGCCAGGTGATACCAGAAATGCGTCAGAGACAACGCATATGGAACAATTTCTACTGCAGAATGAACTGGGAGGGGAAAGATGCAGGGTCAAATCCCCAGCCAGTTATGAAGCTTACTGAACAATGTTTAAGGCCTGCATCACAGTATGTTGTGGGGGAAGGGGGACAGGGTTGAATAAGGATCAAGAGACAACCATGTATTCTTGAGCATCTTGGATGAAAGGTGTGAGATAAATACAACAGTGGTGCTACAGAGCTTACATGATTAATTGCTCCTTAATATAAAACTTTGACACAAACCTATTCTATGGTGGTGGGAAGGAAATGTGCATACCGAAATTATGCATACACAAAGGTGCCAAATGGTGATTTCTCCACCTGATCTGGAACACAGCCTCATCTGGATCCCCATTCACTTCCACGTGGCCAGTTAAGAGAAGAGGTGGACAAGGCAATGGCAGATAGTGGCAGCTGGTGGCCATGGTGTCTAGTGCTGGAGGAGACACAGCAAACAATGTTGTGTAGAATCAGAGGCAAAGGTGGGGTATTAGAGACAGACAGGGAGGTAAACAAACAAATATTCCGACACACAAATACAGAGACCATTTGATTCTGTATCGGTGGGATTAAGGTGGCTGGTATAGCATGAGTCTGGGGTGGATCGGTGCCTCCCTTTCCTCTATGGACAAGCCACCACTCCCTCTGGACATTGGTGGGCTGTAATCCCAACGGTCCTTGCCAGCAAAGCTGATGGTGAAGAATTCTAGGAGCTGTAGTACAGCTTTAATCAGAGAGCTGCACTTCGCTTCGTTTCATAGCGATCGATCAATCATGCTTCCTTTGCCAGTTGCTATAGGGTACTATAGAAGAAGGCTGTAGTACCCTAGCATGCCAAGAACAGGGGTGCGGTGGAACCAGGCTTCCCCTCCCAGTTCACTAGGCAGTAGATACCTTTACATGCTGTCTTTTCTCTGATGAGCTCAGGGTTTAAAACAAACCATCTACCACCACCATTACCAGCAATAACAGAAAGAGGAGAAGGATGGTGAGAGCACCAGACATCACCATCACCATCCCACCCACCCCATTATAACTTGCTTGTCCCAGTACAGTACGGCTGCCAGTATTTTATTTTTTTTACTCTCTTTTGGTGGGTTCCTGTGTGCCCTCTCGTGCCAGCTGCTAGGGCTTCTCAGTTCACCTCTGAGGATGGAGGGTTTTGAGTACAGTACTGAGCTTAAAATGTATAGGGCGTTAGTTTGGGGAACGATGGACGGCGTCCACCTGCCGCTGCCAACCAAGTAGAGCCACTGACTCAGTGTGATCGATATTAAGTGGACGCTTCCTATTCAAAACTCGACTGGAGCTGAAATTGATTTGGGTTTGCTGTCAGATGGGACGCGCGCGTAAGGATGCCGGCGGCCCTCTGGCAGCTCACGAGAGAAAGAGACACGGGGGGGGCGTGTCTTATAAACTCTCGCCAGCCAATGGCAGAGAAGCCGACACGCGATCCGGAGCGCTGTTCTTTTAATCGGAGGGCAGGTCCGGGGAGAGCCGCGCTCGCAGGCGGCGAGGATGGGGTGCCGGAGGAGCGGCGGCGGCAAGGAGCGCGCAGGGCAAGCCTCGCAGATCCCTTGGGAGAGTCGGCCAGAAATCCGGCGTGAGGGGCTGTGATCCTGACAAGCGCCCCCCCCCGCTTCCGCCTCTCTTCGCTCCCGCCAGGTCTTGAAACCCAAACGACACACCATGCAGCAACAGGGCGGAAAACTTCCCTCGGTGTTTCCCGCTCCACACCGTGGCGGCAGAAAGCTCGGCGCTTGAAAAGAGTGAAGGGAGCGAAAGCGACTCGACCAGGCGGCGAGAAGGACGGAAACTGACCAGGGTGGCTGGTTGAAATTGACC